TGCTGTATTGTAGATTAATATTTACATAAACATCTGCAGCAGGCTTTATATAATGATGCATAATAACAGACTAAACATATTATTGTTAATATCAGCTTCACCGCCACTTGGCTTCATCATTAATTTACTCCTTACATTTTAACAAATCATCAGTCATAATGATCCTACAATATAATACATGGAACAACTATAAAATAACTATTTCCACATTTGATGCTTTCAGAACCAGATACCATGGTATTTTGCCAATACCATTTATTATTATTTAAGTGAAATCAAGTACAGGACTTTAAATGTTGACATTATGGTATTACTATTTGTACTTGTACTTTAGTTCATTATGTGTAGAATTAAATAGTTTTCCTTTTGTGCCATCTAGTGGTGGCATCAAGAACGACACTGTGGAAAACTGCACACCATTACAAATCAAATCAAATTTTATTTGTATAGCGCCAAATCACAACAAAAGTCATCTCAGGACACTTTACAAAGTAAGGTCTAGACCTTACTGTTATCACTATTATTACACAGCAATACACACTTTTTTGTTGAAGAATGTATGTGGATATACAATGAAATAACTTATTAGTAGTTATCAGCATTGCAATTATAATCAAATTGCAGAATATGCACAGTATATTTTATGATATGCAGTGTCTTCTGTTTTTAGAAAAATGTAATGTTTATAACATTTTTGGAGCGGTATTAAAAAAAGTATTGCAAATTGATGTAGTGTAAATATGGAAAGCAATTTTTCTATGTACATAGTTTTGTACATACATGATATACAGGCTTAACATAATCTCTTTACAATTCTACTTTGTATGACAAAAAAAAACCATCCTACCATCAGCACACCGAAGTATGTGAGGTGGTCACAGGAACATGTGATATGACTCTGACCACGTTTCCACTGTGTTAGGCAGCCTGCACTACTGTATTCTGATATGTCCAACAAACAAAGAGACAGATATGCCACAGTATATCAACTCACTTCACTGGTCATAAGCGAAACCCCACAATAACACCAACTTATCCTACTAATGTCAAAATATAATAATTGTCTTATTATCATTATTGTTCATGACAAATGTGAGGCTTGGTTACTTACCCTGTGCGGAAACATTTAAGAACACACATGTGAGTGTTTGGCTCTCCTGTGACAATAACATAATGGGTTTACATTAGACAGATACTGAGCATTTATGATTTTTTCTAAACTATCCTGGACAAAACATACAAACGTATGCATCATTTGACAGTAACACAAGGATGTACATAGAATGTAAGATTAGAGCAAATGATTTAGGAAATGAGGTTGAAGTTACATTTATGTTTGTAGTAAGATTCATGGTGATGTTAACATGCTCCTGTAGTCCAGAAATAGTCTTTCCATGCACACTCAGGCCAACCAGTCTGCTCTCATACAGTACACCTGGGGCTCCCCATATGTCCTATAGTACAACATACATTCAGGCAATTACTTTTACAGTTTGTACAAGACAATCACTGTATAACATTTGATCACTATCCTAAATTTCCTTTACTGTGTTAAAAGAAAAAAAGCCACCCATGAGTTATCATTTTTATAAAAAGTTGTGATTTTTACTTAGTGTACCCACTTCCCTGATAAGAGCTTTTCTAATCTTCTATTCAGCTGCTGTATATTTTGCATATTACTACGGTGAAAACACAGAAGTAAGTTACAGTGGTGTGAAAAAGTATTTGCCCCCTTACTGATTTCTTATCTTTTTGCATGTTTGTCACACTGTAATGTTTCAGATCATCAAACAAATTTAAATATTAGTCAAAGATAACACAAGTAAACACATCATGCAGTTTTTAAATGAAGGTTTTTATTATTAAGGGAAAACAAAATCCAAAACTACAAAACCCTGTGTGAATAAGTGTTTGCCCCCTAAACCGAATAACTGGTTGGGCCACCCTTAGCAGCAACAACTGCAATCAAGCGTTTTCGATAACTTGCCATGAGTCTGCCACAGCGCTGTGGAGGAATTTTGGCCCACTCATCTTGGCAGAATTGTTGTAAGTCAGCCACATTGGAAGGTTTTCGGGCATGAACTGCCTTTTTAAGGTCATGCCACAGCATCTCAATTGGATTCAGGTCAGGACTTTGAAATTTGTTTGATGATCTGAAACATTACAGTGTGACAAACATGCAAAAAGATAAGAAATCAGTAAGGGGGCAAATACTTTTTCACACCACTGTATATAGTTCGGAAAAAAGTTAGTTGCTTGATCCCTTTATTAAAAACAGCATGTCTGATTTTATCATTGTATTTGAGGTTGCTGCCTTTTGTCACAAACTGTCTCTTCCTCTTTTGTGAAAAAAATTCTGCCAGTGGCACTGTTGAACATTTATGCAAAATAATGACAATGAGACTCGTTCACTTTTTGTCAGTGAGGAACAAACAAAAACACACCTATAGTTTGTATCAAATGACTTTTTTAAAATCACATGTAATCTACAGGTGCTGGTCATATAATTAGAATATCATCAAAAAGTTGATTTATTTCACTAATTCCATTCAAAAAGTGAAACTTGTATATT